AGATCCATGGTCAACAAGGTCCACAGTCAACAAGGTCCACGGTCAACAAGGTCCACGGTCAACAAGGTCCATGGTCAACGAAGTCCACAGTCAACGAGGTCCACGGTCAACAAGGTCCACGGTTAACATGGTCCACTGTCAACGAGGTCCACGGTCAACAAGGTCCACTGTCAACGAGGTCCACGGTCAACGAGGTCCACGGTCAACGAGGTCCACAGTCAACGAGGTCCACGGTCAACGAGGTCCACAGTCAACGAGGTCCACGGTCAACAAGGTCCACAGTCAAAGTACCAGGGCTGTGGACTCCAGAGTCCAGGTCCAAGTGTGTTTAGGGTAATTTCATCCATTTACAGCGTGAAACAGAGCAACGTTCCTCCAGAGGCAACATCAAAACACACAATAAGTGCATGTGTTCCTGCACGTGTAACACAACACAGGGTCAATGCAGTAACAGCTGTACAGCTGTGCAGAGAAGGTGTTCAAAGGACGGGTCAGCAGGAAATGACAAAGGTGTGTGGTCCAGTTCCTGGGTTCTTCAGTTCTGCCTGACCAGGAGTCTGCTGGTGAGACCCGAATGCTTCAGAACCATCAGTGTCTGAAGAGTGTGTGTTGTGTGTGGTTGTTTGTGTACATGTCCATGATGGTGGGGACACACACTGAGGATCTTCTGAGCTGTCCTCCCTGTCCTCAGCAGGGACTTGAGATCCGATCATTGTCACCAGTTCCGGATGGTTCTGAACATGAAGATACATCTCGTCTGTGATGGGCTCGGTTCTACAACTAAAATTAAAAAGTTCAGCTGTTTATTCAGAACCAGAGGTGTCTGGGTTCAGGACTTGTCTAGACCTGGACACAAAACATGCTGAGACTTAATGAAAGGAAGACGTTGACCCATTTCAGCTATAGAATCAGATGTTCTGATCCAAACAGAGGTGGAAGGGAGAAGAGCTGGTCTGATTCTGGTTCTGACAGAGGAGCATTTCAAAATGGACTCAACTGCACAGAACTGGAGCTGGACTCTGGAGGACAATGAGTCCAACTCACCTGAGTTGGGTCAGAACACGGTCAGCTGAAGGATTCTAAACACCAGAACCTTATTGGACTTTAGAAAAGAACCTCGGTAATGAAAGGTTCTGGATGTTCTGTTCCTCGCCTGTCAGCTGTTTTATAACAGCTGATCTAACTGCACCTTCAGAACTTTAATTATCTGTCCCTGGTTCTGTTGACCCAAGCCCGGATCACTTCCTGTCTCTGACTCACTCAGAACTCAATAAAAGATTCAGACTCATAAAAATCACGAAGGAGAGATTTGATTCTTTCAGCTGCAGGTTGGAATTAAACTGGGTTAACGGTGGAACCACCTCACTGACCTCTGACCTCCTGAACTGACCTCTGACCTCCTGAACTGATCTCTAACCTCCTCACTGACCTCTGACCTCCTCACTGACCTCTGACCTCCTGAACTGACCTGACCTCCTCACTGACCTCCTCACTGACCTCTGACCTCCTGAACTGACCTCCTCACTGACCTCTGACCTCCTCACTGACCTCCTCACTGACCTCTGACCTCCTGAACTGATCTCTCAGCTCTGATCTTCTGCCTCTTAATTTAGCCGTGTGTCCCTGACTGTTAAAAACTAATTAAACATGTTTTTTTTTTCTGGGTTCGGACCTGTAATTACTGTTAATTTGTCGGGTCGGGTTCGGAAATGATGACTACGAGCTGGGGCCGGGTCGGATCAGGTTTTTTGGGCCTGAATGCAACTCTAACTGAAAGGCTGCAGTCAGTCATGTTCCTTTACTGCAAACAGTTCCGTCTCTGCGTCTCTGCGTCTCTGCGTCTCTCTCACCACTGGTGTTGAGGAGACACCAGGTGATCCAATGTTGTAAAGACAAGTGTTAGACATGCCCTTGTCCTCTTGAATCTCCGATCCAACAGACGTGTCCTCGTCCCCCTGAAGTTTTGGTCCAACAGACGTGTCTTTGTCCATCTGATGACAGTTTCAGAGCAGCAGCTTTCAGCTGTCGGAGCTGGACGTCCTGCTTCAGACGGTGAAGTTTCTTCTCGCAGGTCGCCTGGTGCTGGCGTCCTGATGAAACGTCCTCTAGTGGGCTCAGTCTCTGTTCCATTGTCTCCTGTCTCCTCAGGGCTCAGCACCTGCGTGGAGGGAAATTATGGCTTCATTGACCTTTTCAGTCTGGCGTCGGTGAGCAGAACACTTTGGGAGAAAAAGGCAGGATAATTGGGCCGTCACACGTCACAAAGGTGCTGCAGAGTTCCAGCATCCTCCTGACCTTCTCCTGCCCATTACCATCAGATTGACCTTTTTATGCAGTTATTATTTCTGACATTTGTTTGGCTGCAGAGAATCGATACGTGAAACAGGAGGCGAGGCGGAGAACCGCAGGTTAACATCCCAGGCAGTACTCGACGCCGCGCTCCAAGGATCCGACTGTCGGCAGGTTTATGAGTTTATATGAAGAGCGACAGCTGAGAAACCAAACCAGAGCTGATGTATCTGTTTAAACACGTCCTGCAGAGGTTTCTGAAGGCCGACAGTTCGACTCCCATCAGACTGGCAGGTTTTCACCTCAGCTGCAGACAAATAAAACCTCCTGAAGCTTCAAAGGCCCGTCGTCCGATTCCTCAGAACCAACAGTTTGATGTGGTCTCACTGATTTGTGGCGATTTATTCAAGCAGGAATAAAAATAAAGGAAACTAGAGGAAAGTCATTTCCTGAAAGCTGCAGGATTGCTGCTGAAAGCTGCTGAAAACGTTTTTTTGCTGAACTCAATGTGAGCTTTGAACAGCTGAGACTTGCTGAAAGCCGACAAACAAAAGTCTAAAGCAGCAAAAATGACAGAAATGAGCAGAAAAAGCTGAACAGATTCCAAACAATCTGAAAATAGCAAGAAAAGTAGCTGAATATGCTCAAAAAGAGCTGAAATTAGCAGAAAGGAGCTAA